TTTGGCCGCAAGTGGGGATCAATGAGGGTAGATCCGGTTTGAGGATGAGCTTGTTAAAAACTTTCGCTGCAACCGGGCCAGTGAAATGCCACGGTTAAAAAAAATATTAGATATAAGCAAATGTTTATGATCACAGTTTATACTGAAGTTGCATGCATTAACAATGAAGAAGGGAAACAATTGACTTCCTACTTTTTTCATTGTGTTTAAAAAACAATATCTGATGAAATATTTCTACCCAAATTAATTAGAAAAACTGTACCCACAAGTAATAACCATAACAGTCTATAACAATTGGATGGAGCCCCGCGTGACTGAAAAAGTGTTTTACGTGTACAATGGAAATTGCAACGTTGTACAACATAACTTATAGTTCTCTTGTCCAAACAATTTACACATAATATAACAATTCCCTATATAAAAATTCCAATATAAATTCAATAATTAAAAAACAAATAAATATTATCGGACTATACATGCAGAGACTAACATGCAGCATGAGAAACTGGTGGATAAGCCTTCGGTTAAACGGATCCGGAATAAGTCATTGATGGAATTTTCGGGTCCTTGGTATTGTCGTCCGGTTTTATTGTCCATTACCAACGGTTCTGACTTTCATAGTTTAAACAATTGTGAGTTCGAAATATACAGCTTTAAACGACTAAGTATTGAATGAATTGAAAATACCTGACAATCTACACTCCTATAAAAATTTAAAAAGCATATGAGTAACTCGTAGTGATGTATGTTTCTAGAAACTTTAAATTAAATTTGGCGCTCAAGGCTCCTCATGATCATGTGCTCGCCGCATGAGTCTGTAAATGGCAGGGGCACCCTTCGAGCTTCATATTATTCACCTTACTGAGGCAGTCATCACAAATCGGCGGCTTTATTTTTTGATATGATATGTTTTGATTGTTTTAATAAATACAAAATTTAAATTTGTTTTTCCTAAATTTGTTTTTCCTAATAGGATAACTAAAATTAAAATTTATAAAAACCCTTTAAGTAGTTATAAAGTAAGCCAGTTTAAAGCTATGACTATAGTCTCTTTGTTCACTTTTGGAATTCGAGCTTTCATATTAAAAATGCAATTTCATTTTTAGTTGAATAGTTTTAAAGAATTATATTTAATTTTTAACGACTAAACATGCTGCAAACTAAGCTATTACATTCCTCCCACTTGTATTTGTTTTATTATTAGCTCCCATAACGTTTTGGTAGAGGACAAATTTCAATTAAAACTTCTTCAGATAGTACGGTATTGTAGCGCGATTGCAAATTCAATTCTGCATGGGCCGCTGCCGCGCATCAAATAATGCTCTGCCAATTTGCATCACTTGATTTTAATTGAATGTATATATATACTGTTTGACATATTTTTCTTTTTCTCAAAAAAAAAAAAAAAAAATCTTATATCCTTCTAATTTAATTTTAAAACCTAAAACTGTCACAGAGTTCTTGACGTCCGGAGGGAGTTTGTTCCAATATGGAATAACTCGCTCCGGGAGAAAAGACTTCTGGATATTTTTGACCTTTGTCACACTTTTACTACATCTATTGGATGAAACCAGATTAAGACCTGATCTGCTTGGTCTGAAAAAGTCTGAACCATAATCAGTCATACCATTAATAACCTTAAAAGCTTCAATAAGGTCCCCACGTATTCGCCGCTCTGCCAGCGTTGTCAAATTGAGGATTTCCAGTCTACGGCTGTAAGGAAGAGTACCCACCTCATCAATCAGACGGGTAAAACCGCCTCTGGATGCTCTCCAGCTCCAAAACAGTCCCCCAACTTCCATGAGCCGCAGGTGGATTCCACAATTGGACACAATACTCAAGATATAGCAATCATAACAACCTTTTCTCTAATAACTAAATTCCTTACAATCCAACAAATCATACGATTTGCCTTAGCGATACATGCTTTGATCTGTTCGTTCCAAAGCAGGGAGCTATGGGTAATAACCCCCAAATCTTTTTCCTGTGCAGATACTTCAAGTTCTATACCATTTACCTTATAATTTAAATTAGGATTGTTGTTAAAATTAATGTGCACTACTTTGCACTTGGCAGGATTAAATTGTAAAAGCCAAATACTTTCCCAAACTTCTAATTCTTCGATATCTTCAGCAACACTACCGTGGTTAGCTGCATTACCAATTAATTTAAGATCATCAGCAAATAACAGAGGTGCGAGAAAGAACTTTGTTGATATAAATAGTTAAGATTTGAATTTGGAGCCACAAGGCCAAGGTTAATATTCAAATGTTTCTCCCAATATTTGAGATAGGGAATATATTGATTTTTTGAAGGGTTGTTTTTATATAGGGTCATTGTGACAATTATGTGTATATTGTTTGAATAATTTGTATATTTTTTTATTTGCATCATACACGTAAGTTTATGATGGGTCTTTACTTACTTTGTTACTTTGTAGGGCTTCATAGAATCCTCTATCGGGCCATCGAAAAAGTCGACCCCCGGACAGTGTAGAAACTGTTTTATCACCACTCCCAATCAAGCAAGGAGTTTCCATTCCGATGGCTGTATCCTGGAGCTGGAGGCTCGTCCGGAAATGACTTCACAAAGTTCGTTAAAGCTGCTTTGAATTGCATAGGATCCTCGATGGTGTGCATATGTGTTGGGATTACATTCCATAATCCATTTAAGTGACATCGTAATGGCTTACTTGACGACTTAGCTATTGCTAATTTTTAAATTTTCGCACACACATCTATTGTAGATAACGATGATGATGATGAAAATCTAAATATTATAGGCTACAATGAGCATTTTAGTAACAAATAGTATGATGAAAATATTTACACCCAAGTTAAAAATATAAATACTTTATTTTAAAAACACTATCAAATAAGGTGGTTGATCAGTCACTTGTGTCATTACGACGACGTCGTTATATCAAGTCAAAATATTCCCCAAAATAATTTAAAGACGATTCCCTATTGAAAACGTTTTGGTAGAAAAAGTTTCTCAAGTTACATAAATATCATTGGAAATGCAATTTTATGGATAAAATCAATAAAGCTTACAAGTAAATCTACAAAGTAAAAAAAAAAATAAAAAAAAAAAAAAAAAAAAAAACTAGCTCCAATGTTCATGTAACCAGACAGGTTCTACCAATCCAAAGAGTTAAGTAGGTTTCCATTCAGTCAATAGTAAACAGTGTCTAGCACTGGTCGTCCTAAGAGGGACTCCCCATTTATTACAGGCCTGGGTAAGGCCGCGTACATACCAATGGATAGAGCATTGGCCGTCTAATATAGGGACTAGACTCCCCAGCTAGGCGTGGGTGGGCCCTGTAGAAATACAGATCTTCCTTCTTAGCTTGAGGTCATCATTATTCACACATTCACTGAAGATTTGGATGAATTTTGGATCTCTCGAGCAGTTTAGGATCGCCAAGTGTGGAGTACCCAGATCTTCCAGACTGGAGACCTCATTACCAACACTGAGAAGACATGAGGCTTGGTCCCTAAGGTTTTCGTCAACATGCCCACAGCTAGTCAGTATATGAATTGCAGTTTGTTCTTCATGACCACAGGAGCAATAGGGAGAAGGCCATTTTATTTCAGTCTGTCAAGGATATATAGAAATGAGTTTAGAAGATTGTTTTTGTAAAACAAGCTCATGACTAGAACCTCAGTTTCTCTGCTAGTATAATGAGGGAACTTCAGGGGGGTGGTAGACACCATGGGAATTTGAGACCAGCCCTCCATTAGTAACTGGTTCTTAATAGATTCCTGCCATACGAATTCAGTGAATTGTTTGATAGAGGCCTTGGTGTAATGGCAGGCTTTCCTAGAGAGCTCGAACAATTTCGAGGCATCATTCAATCCAATTATTTTTGCATCACCTGGCAGGACAGAGTCAGCATATACTTCCACCTTCCATTTTAGAAATTTCAGCACATCCCGCATCTGGCCCAGAATTATTGTGTTTCCGGATTCTATCTCTCTGAATATGAAGTCATGGTGTACATCGATATGTATACTACTGAATACCTTCAGGTAGTGCTTCACCGATAGTATTCTGTTTGTAACCCGGAGTGGGGGTATTCCCAAGATGACCTCTAGTATGGCATTTTGAACATTGAAGACTGCTTCCACAGCAGATTTTGCAACCTTGTACCAAAGTAGATAACGAGATCTCAATTTTCCTGGAAGTAATCCCAAACAACACTGGCTTTTGTCGTGACAGTAAATTGAATAATAAGCAGATCAATCAAAAGAGTTCAATTAGAAATCGACCACTTAACAGCAGCTTATTTAGCAAATACAAATGAGATGCGACGAGCAAAATGCCTGAGAACTAGTCCTGATTAACCGTACATTTTATAAAAGATTTTACAAATGTTTTACATACATTTTTCTCACTCCAGCTCCAGTCTGGTAGTTTTGAGTTTCATGAATATTTTTCTAGCCTTCTTAAATCATGTTTTTTGCCTCATTGTAGTCTGTAGATATTTTGGTCTTTTGTAAATGTAATATGTTTTAACATTGGTTACATGTGTAATTTAAACTTTAAAGTTATATGCTTAATAGCTTATATAGGCTAGTTGTCAACCTAATAAGGTTGTAAACTCTTTAATGCAGGACCATAACAAATTCGTTTGGCTTAGCTGTTTGTTTTATTAAATGGGATCAATGATCAGGCTTCTGAAATCAATTCAAACACAAACAATTTTGTCTGAATTTTGTGTAAAGAATTTGGAAATGATGTCTAAATAGAATTTAGAATCCATAGGATCAAGAGGGAAGGTTGGAAATATATTTCAGGGTGTTCTAGGCTCCAATAAAAAAACCAACAAATGCCCTTTGTTAATATGATTTATGATATCAATTGATGTTATTGCAAATGAAATGAACCGTTTGTTTTACTTTAATTTTAATTGGTTATTTTCAATTTAAAATATGTATTTATTTTTTCCCAGCACTGAGTTCAAATTATTGAACTTACTAACAGTCAACACAACCTTTAGGGAAGAATTTGGATAGACCATAAAATGGTGGACTAGCATGTCCCTATCACTCTCAGACGAACTAACTGTGTTATTGTGTGTACTTGGTGTTATTATTTTTATCTTCTTTGTTTTCATGGTGTTCTTGTGTTTCGAATGTCTGAGGCAGAAAGAAAACCAGCCAGAAGGTGGGGACAATCTGCGATTTTCTTGGCTTTCATTTCTCAGTGTCAATCAAAAAGGTGACAACGGCGAGAGATTAGGAAATAAAAGCATTTTCAACTTCTCAAAAAATAAGGAGCAGCCCCCAGCAGCTGTTCCAACAGAGACTTATGTTCTTAATGACTCTATCAAATCATCTTATGTTGATATTGTTCCTCAAAGTAAGGGTATCTACAAATCAATAGCGCAAGACTCTGATTCTGAATCACAATTCTCATTTACATCGGAACCTGATCAGCGTAGATTCTCTCATTTTGCACCCTTGGAAGCATCAACATGTGGGACTATTGTGTGCTCCATTAAATTTTATCATTTCGCTAATAGACTTGCTGTAAGAGTTGGTGAAGTTCAGCTTAATCTTGTTGATAACTTAGTCGTCAATCCTTATGTAAAGCTTCATCTACTTCCCGAATATAAGCGAGGTAATCGACAAACCACCCGAGTCAAGCGGAACAGCACCCTTTTCGTGTGTGATGAGGACTTTTTATTCGGTGTTGGTTCACGTGAAGTGAGAACCAAGTCGCTTAGTCTGCAGGTGTATGATTATAAATCTAATACGAGGCATATGTGCATCGGAAAAGTAAACATCAACCTGGGAGATTATGATTTTAAAGATGAAGATAAACCACTGTCTTTAAAGAGACATATTATTCCTTATAGAGAATCTCAGGTATGATTGTCCATTTAGATTATTCTTCATATTTATGATGTAATTTATCGATCACTAATTGATACCAGCCTCTAGGAGCATATTTTTACAATAGTTTTTAACCACTTTATAAGGGACACAATTTCAGGAACAGTTTGGTGCATTGCAGGTTGCTTGCAGTGTCACTTCAGAAACTCTGCGGATCGGAATCGTTAAAGGGGAGGGATTAGTTCCAGTCGATATGTCCGGAACGCTGGGTAAGAGATATTTCATCAACCCTTTGCTGTTTTGATGTTGTTTTTAAAATTTTACAGTAAAAAGCTCACCACTCACCTAATCCCATGTTGCTCAAGAAGTGTCATTTTTCCCTCGTCGATCACGTACAACAGATCCACAGCCTCACCCGCTCACAAACATATCATTGCTCAATATTGTCCTGTACGTGTAAAATTTCTAAATATAAGTCTGTTTATGTGCAATTATAAGTACGAGAGCTGGTGCCCAAACTTCTCGAGCTCAACTTTGTGTTTCGTTTTGAAACGGAGTACCACCGTGAATTACATGTGGTAGCACACAAAGGGGTGACTGACTGTGAGCATTGTGTATACCCGCGTATGTGATGGAATTTACAGTCACCTGCTCAATAGCTCCTGCTACTTAACAATACAATCACACCATATCCAGATGGTTTACACGCGTGTCTCCCCCGCATGCGTGTCCTGTACTACTGTAGTAAAGTAATCTTATATTGCATTTTATATTGTAACACCAATCAAACATAATATCACAGATGCTGCTGATTCTCCAGTCTCCTCTCTCTACCTGTACCTGTTGTAGTTTACACAATATGATCTAACTGGCCACACTTTAAAGCACAGAAAGTAGCTAACATCACATGAAATAAGTATTGAGTAACCTCGCCACGCCTTACTCTCTGCTGTATTGTAAAGTGGTGTGATGTACCTATTGTTCTATTGTATAACAGGGACTAGGCTAGTACATCTGTTGTGATACAATGGAGCAGGGCATCAGTCTCTATGAGAGATAACGATATGATCGGTATTTAAAACCACTGCACTTTATTTACCGCCGCCATATCCAGATCCCTCGCATGTGTGCGATCTTATTATTGCGACCAGTGACCGGCCGTTCGCTCTACCTCATAATGAGCAATACACACATACACGCACGGCACACCACACGGGATGAGCCGTTACTTAGTAACCCACGTGATGCTCACGTGATGCTCACGTGACGTGCGCGTTCTGTGTTTAACATGTAGGCGTGGTCATCACGTGGACCTCATTATACTTGCTCCACCCAAACTAATATACCTACCATTACACAATTATATATACAGAGTCTCTTTAACTGGTGTGTATGGGCTGATGTAAGCGTGTATCTAGCTATTTTACAGGAGGTTGGGTCTGTACTCTGTCGAAACAATCGAATGTTCGAGAACAATTTCCTCCGCAGCAGAGCTATTTAGCAATTAGCTGATGAAAAGGAGCGGGTGCTGTCCTGTTTCGGCAGATATGAGGCACCTGTCAGTTTTAATCATGTCACATGGTCGCATCTCACGTGCTATTATATTGTAAAGCCTGGCTAAAATCTTCCTATTCATTTTCAACAAACAATTCGTGATGCAATCATGTTTTAAATGGGACTAGAAAATTGCGCAATGTGGTGGGTCATTTGCCGGCATCCGAGCTTTCTTCATGGAGTTCAAAGAAGCGAACTCAGAGTTCTCAGAGTTTAAACGCCGTTTTGTGGCCATCAGTTTCCTCGATAGTATGTGTATCACTGGCTGTTGAGACAACCACATAAAAACATCTGTTAGATATATAGAACCCAAACTATATACAATGCTGTTATTTTCTGTAGAAGCTCTTCTTCGAGGAGTGAGCTCTACAAGTTTGGAGCGTATAAAAAATAATTGATCGAATTTAGCCGACTCAGTATATTTCAAAAACATCTGATGAACAGAAGCTATAGCAGCCGAGTAAATCAGTAGTTTATAAAATCATACAATACGTTAGTCATATGGGTAGAGATTTAGACTACTTATTTGGGTTAAAAAGTGTCCCTGTGGCATACAAAATTGTGACTGGTTCACGATAAAACGCTTTATAAAGCCAACTCAATGAGTCATCGGTTCGTTACTCTTCACCATTTCAATATTCACCACCGTAACGCACGCTTCGATAATCATGCACCTTTGCTCCTCTCTCTCTCCCTCTCTCCTTAGTATGAGTAGCAGCATTTATTCAGCAACTCCTAAGTATGGCTTGTTTTACCACCAGAGCTAATGTTCTCACTGCATCTCACTCCGTATCCACTGTCGGTGTATCTCAACCATTGTTAACCACAATATGTTGAATTCAGTGAACGTGTTCATTAAATGAATGTAAAGCACGAGTAGCTAGCTCTTCCAAGGAGGTATAATTGCCCACATCACTACCATCACGAGCTGTAAAATCTATGTTACACTCCAAATCGATTAGTATAGTCTATTATATCGGTCGATTGTTTGACCGGCGTATTGTTCCGTTAGCTATTCATTAAATCTAACATTTAATGGACCTCGCGATTATCAAAGTTTCAATGAAAACAACGATCTTACTTTACATTATTAGATAATGACCTCTCTGTCTTTCAGAACCCTACTGCAGGATTATGGTTCACATAGGATCTGAGTTGGTTCATAAGAAGAAAACGTGCATCGCCGAAGCTATTAACCGGTCACCAGTTTGGGAGGTGAGTTTCCTGTAAATAATGTTCACTTACCTTATCAAGGTGATATCATACAGCATATAACTCGTTAGAAGAACTTAAAATTTTCGCTCAGCAAACCTTGCAGAGACTTGTTTCTATCATGTCAAACATACTGCATCCGATTGTAATCTCTGACCTTATGATGTCAGGTTCTTTTATTTGCCAATATTCACTCCACAGAATAATACCTCTGATGATAACGCCACTGTTTCACTGTTTCACTATTTCACTATTTCACTATTTCTCAGGAGTATTACACGCTGGACCTGCCCGCTAAAACGCTCCTCTGTGATATTTCCATAACAATAGAGGTGAGCAGTGTTTTCTTTACATCGAAAGGTGATAATCACATTAATACAATATGATATGAAAGAGAGTTTTCCGAGAGTTAACAGCAGTTCCAGTCCCAGGACGGCATATACTCCCACGTACACTGTACGCTTCATGGATTTTAATTCTAAACGGCTTCTCCATTCCACCTGTTATTATCAGGCTATAGGCTATTGGCACCCTAAACCGGTTACCACGTGATCTGAAATACACGTGACCTAGACTCCACTATTTACTGTATAGTAAAGCGGCCCATTGTTGCAGGGTAACCAGGTGGTTGTATTAGAGCGGTTTATGAAACTCTCAGCCAACGACTTGTCTTTTGAACTGGAATTTGAACCTTTCTAAGATAAAGCCACTTAAAATAACAGCATATATATAATTGATTATATTTGGGTGGTAGAGTAATCCCTGACCACCTGCTAGACTGCCCTTTGTTTTCCTCATCGACCTCCCCTCATTATCCTACCACAATTTAGTTATAAGTTATTACTCTGATTAGCTCTTGGAATAATTGAAAAGATCCCAGACCCCCTACGGCCAACATTGTCCATCACGACTAGTTAATAACGATTAACTAATCCAGAATTAGCTGAGGTTACATCTGAGAGTTATATTATTATAGGTAAACTGTAGGGACGCTGTGTAATTATGCAAACAGCTCTCCAGACCCAAAACGGGTCAATTTTTTTGTATTACTCAATATTCTGTTACTAAATACTTTTTAACCTAACCCCCTCCTCCCTCAGATACGAGACCACCTACGTAACTCACGGTCTACCTCGTATCTCCTGATGGGTCGTGTAACCCTCTCCAACTCTACACCCGGACACGGACAAACCCAGTGGGAACACGTGTGTTCACAGCGCGGCACCATGGTTACTGAGTGGCAACCCATCCTACCCTGAACATAACGAGTGGCAACTCTCCCTACCTTTAACATACTGAAAACACCAAAACTTCGACAAAACCATCATTATGTACACGGGATTTTCGTTTTTACTTAGCTGTCTGATTCTTTTAAATATATATAGGAGTGAGAGGATAGTTTCAAAGATATTTGTGGAGAATTTTCGTGGTAGAGCTGAAGGGAAGATGTTGTTTGTTACTGACAGAGCGTTAGTTAGACCACGTGATTAGCCGCCCAATTAGCCGCCCAATTAGCCGCCCTAGTATTGACTTAGCTATTGACAGTGTCACGGCCTGTACGCTAATACCGGGTTAGTTACGTAAAAGTTAATCTATTGTTAGGACGTGTGTTTCTGCCCGGTCATCAGTCGACTTAACGCACACACAGTCAGAAACTTGTACATAATTGTCGCTCCTCTCCTCCTGAAACACAACATTATCGTCAATTTTCTTGGGCGGAAAAATGGGTGGGAAAGATCCGTTTGCTAGCCCGACTAAGGATTACTCGTAACGGAAAATTCCAGAGACGTGCTATTTTGGGAAGTATTTAGGTTTAGCCTCCCATTTGGGCTGGGTGTAAGCCGGGAGGAGGGCGGTGCTGTTCAATAACAATTAAGCTACCCTCTAATTCTCTATTGTCATCTAGAATTAATCTCATTAAATTCAGATAATAGAGCTATATAATAACAGCCGTGTCTTTGACCAGCTGTTGGATCACAGGATACCAGATATCTGAGATCTACGGGTGCGGCATGTTGGGAATGCAGGTGCGGCATGTTGGGAATGCAGGTGGAACGCTATCTTCGCCCCTTCTACTCGCTCTGGCAGTGCCTCTTTGGATAGTTGTGTAACATTTGTATAGAATAGGTGGGACTCATTGCAGCAGGTGGTCACTTGTCAAAGTCAGCCAATTGTAGAGCGAAAGTTTAGTCATCTGGTATTGAATTGACCAATGAAGGAGCAGCTATCTGCGCAACATTGTGTGCAATTGACAACGAAATGAATTTTATTCACCTGAAGTTAGGTGGTACACGTGTTAAGGTATGTTTACTGGTTCAGTTATAATGTAACATCTGGGTGTAGAAAATATCGTGGTTCACATTTAATGCAGACAGGTTCCATAAACTTACAGACATGAATGTAAGACTGGAAGAAGGAACAAAAAAAACCGAAATAGAATATACGAAAAGAGGGAAAACACGCCATTCGTTAACTACTGGCCTTTTTCATCGGTCCAGCTGTTAAAACCATTCTGAGAAGGAGTGGGTAGATTTTATTTCAGGTATTTTATGTTTTAACAAATCTTTGGTAACATTTTTCATTGGCATACGCATTACTTTTATTCTGGTTGTTCATAAACCAGGACTGCTCGTTTAACATTATAAACCATAAGTCATCTCATTTGCTGAACATTCTCTATCATGCCTTTTCTTACGTTTCTCATCAAACTTGTTCATTTTGTAGCCCTCAAATATAATGCCTCATTACCAGATAGTCCTAAATAAACCAGCTCCCACTAGCCTAAGGACCACAGGCCGTTGCATAAAGTCCTATATTTCCGAACAATATGGATGTTATGTGAAGAGCGATAAGTTTCATGAGGGCACATGGAGCATGGATAAACCACTGGTCCCTGGTCCCTGTCATTGTCCCCTGTGAATATGGAGTCATCCTGGCTACTGAGATCATCTCTTATCTTAGTCTTAGTCTTGTGGTGATGAGAGGGTGAGGAGGAGAATATTGTAACATTAGTATAGAGCCTTCATCACGTGATATGAGTTAGATGTCACGTGATATTGTTGTTTCGAGGTGGGTGGCGGTGTTTAGAATTGCCATGAAAAACTTGTTGGAAGCGTGCCAATTTATGTGTTACGCACTTCAATTCTCATTGGAATAAGCACCAGCTGAAGTTCGATGTGTTCAAATGTTTGAGAATTTCAGTGATTCTGCGAGGCTGGGCGTGGTAATTGAACTAAGGATAATATTCTAATAACGTAAAAATCACTGAGTCTGACTAACGCTCTACTCGCTGCATTTTTGTAAATTATAACTAAACTTCGTTGAAAGCATCTTGAGAACATGAGAAGAGTTTATATTTTTGTTTCAAAAAGTGGGAGAACATTTGATTTTTTGAGGGTCGATCTGTAATATTTTCACATCTGTTTTAGAAGATCGTGAGGCTGATAATTGATACACTGATTGAAGGTATGTAAAGTCTACCTTATGTGTAATTGTTCAAATCGTTTTAATAATAAAAAACTTCTATCATTTATTCTGTGTGTCATGGTGATACTAATTATTTCGAAAAATGAGGGCTGACATTCTGAAAAATGCTGCGAATAGCTTTATCACATAACCCCTTCCATTCACAAATACTTATACCTCCAACATACCTACATACCTCACATACCTACTCCACATACCTACTCCACATACCTACTCCACATACCCACTCCACATACCTACTCCCCCAAAATTACCTACTCCCCCCATACCCTAACCTTCCCCCACAACACTCCACAAAACCTACCACAATACTTCAAATACTATACTGAAACACTATTTGTAACAGCCTATTGAGAACCCCCAAAATTCCCCCCCAAAAATTTAAACACATTTGGGGCCCAACAAAAAAATTCCTCAAATTCTAAACCCCAATGCTTGGCCCCCTTTTAATGAAAAAAAGAAAACGAAAAAAAATTGGGAAACTTTTAAAAGGGGCCCTAGCCCCCCCCCCCGGGTTAAATTTTGCCCAAAAGAAAAAAGAAAAAAAATTTTTCGGGAAACCCCCCCAAAAATTTCCTTTGGCAAAAAAAAAGCCCCTTTTCCCCCTTTTTCACATCCCAACGAAAAAGGGGCCCTACCCCCAAAATGTTAAGGAGCCCCCCCGGGGTTTTGGGTAAAAACAACCCAAAAAAAAATATAACCGTTTAAAGTGAAAAAAATTTTAAAAATCTAAAAAGGGGTTTAAAAAGGGGTGCCCCACCCCAAAATTTTTTAAACCTAAAAAATTTGAAAAGGGGGCCGGGGGGAAAAAAGGGAATTTTAAAAACCCGCCCCCGAAAATTTAAAAAACGGGTTTTTAAGCGGGGCGGGGAGGGGAATAAAGAGAAGAGAAAGAGGGGAAGAGAGGGGAAGGGGAGAGGAAAAGAGAGAGAAAAGGGGAGAAGAGAGAAGAGAAAAAGGAGAAAGAGAGAAAAAAGGAAAAAAAAGGAAGAGAGAGAGAAAGAGAGAAAAGAGAGGAAAAAGAGAAAAAGAGAAAGAAAGAAAAGGGGGGGGAGAAAAGAAGAAAAGAAAAGAGAGAAAGAGGAAAAGAGAAAAGGGGAGGAGAGAAAAGGAGAGAGAGGAAGAAAAAGGAAGAGGGAAGGGGAGAGAGAAAGGGAGAGAGAGGAAAAGGAGGGGAAAAGAGAGAGAGGGGAAAGAGAGAAGAGAAGAAGGAGGAGAGGGGAAAAGAGGAGAGAGAGAGAAGAAAGGGGCTAAATTTTTTTTGAAGTTGGGGAAATTTTTTTAAAGGGGTTAAAATTTTTAAAAGGTTGGGAAAAAAAGGGGGAAATTTAAAAAGGGGTTTTTTAAGTAATAAAAATTTTTTTTATTAAATTTGGGAATTTTATTAAAAAATTAAAAATTTTTGGGTTAAACCCTTAATTTTTTTGGCTGCCCCAAATTTAATTGAAACAAAAAGGGTTTTTTTCAAACCCACATTGGTTTTTTAAGGGTTATCAAAATTAAAATGGGGGGGCCACTTTAAAATTAACAAATGAAAACCTTTTAGCCCCCAAAAAGGGTAGTAAAAGGGGGGAAGGTTGGGGCCCCCCCTTAATTTTTTTTTTTAATTTCCCCACCCCTTTTAAAAGACCACCATCAAAAAACGCCCCTTTTTTTCCTTTTTTAACAGAAAAATGGGGTTGCCACCAGAAATCAATTTTTTTGGCCAGGACCCCAATTTTCCCGGGCCCGGAATATTTGGGTTTTTTTTGGGGGCCCCAACCCATGTTAAAATTCTAAATCAGGTAACGGTTTTTTTTGTTTTTATGCAAAAGAAAGGGAACCCTGCCAAGCTTTTTAAAACCCTTTTTTTCAAAAGGACCCCCCCCAAAAATAAAAAAACAAAAAAAAAATGTGAAAAATTTGGGGGGGAAATTTGGGGGGGAAAAGGGTCCCGGAAAAATCGGGGTGGGGGGAAAAATTGAAAGTTTTTACGGGGTACTAAACATTTTTTTAAGTATGGGAAAAAAAAGGGGGAAGTATAGAAAACCCGAAAAAAATTTGGCAGTGGGGCCAACCCAAGGAAAACCTCGTTTTTTGGGCCCTTTTAAGTAAAAACAGGGGGACCCGGGAGTTATGGGGGGGCCCCCGTGCGAAAAAATGGGCCCCAAAAAACGATGGAGGGGACAGGGGTTTTTTCCACTGCTTTTAAAATGGTTTAGGGTGTTTGGGGGAATTTGGTGAGGGTTCCAAGAAAACCGGGAATTTTTCCCAATTACCCCCCCCCCCAAACATGCCCCCCAAAAACGGGGAATAAATATAAAGGACAAAAAATGCAACCCCCACTAAAAACCCGGGCTTTAAAATTAAAACCCTTAAAAAAAAGGCGGGGAAAAAACTTTTAAATACACAGTTTTTAAAAAAAGCCCCGAAAAAAATACCTTTTGGCCCCCTGCCCCCCTCCCCAAATAAAAATTCCCCCCCCCCAAATTTGGGGTTTAACCAAAATATTATGTCGGGCCCAAACCCAGGTCCCCCCCCTTTTGTTTTTTTTTGGGAATGTTTCAAATAAAGGCAGGATTTTGTGTCAAGTACACAAGTACGTCGACCTGGTGACGTTCAAATTCGGCAGAAAGGAAATATCCAGTTTAAAGGCTAATGATTCGACTAAATAACTCTACCTTCAAACTATGGATACAAATTTAAAACTTACTCTGTAACCAATTAAACTTAATTGCTTTACAGTGACAGCTTGTTTAGCAGGAAAGTAGGTTTATTTAAGGACTACATGTAAATTTCAAAACATCGAGTGCCCACCGATTTCTCAACGGATTATCGTAGGTATATAATATAAGGGCTACTCCCAAAACATTTTTCGTGCCAATCGGGCAATGTATACATGCCCAATTTGGACGAAAAATGTATTGGGAGTAACCCTTATGTATTACCTTCGATAATCCGTTAAGAAATCGGTGGGCACTCGACGTTTTGGAATTATACATGGGGTCCTTAAGACACCAATGAGACGAGAATGAACTTTATGATCGTATCCATAACTGGGCATGTGACATATGTCCCATCTTGAAAACTCCCTGACTAACTATGATACCACAGACACCTGAACTCTGACTAAAACTTTTACGAAAAATAACTGCAGCTGAAACTAAATTGGTTGTAGCTTTTGACGAGGGTAACAAGTTTCTGTGAAATTATTTTACAGTTATATTTTTGGTGGATAGCCTAGTTTGTCGTAATAAATAGATTATGTTTATTCATATAAAAGTTTAAATGGTAAGTGATAAGAGTGATAATATATGGGGGCGTTGGGCGCAAAATTCTTAGGCCATTTCGTTATTTCATTGCGATCATAATTTCTTTCAAGCAGTGACTTTAACGCTGAAAATGACTATAAATGAGCTAGAAAGTACAGGTGTCCTACCATACGGCCCAGTAATAATTGGGTAGTACCAATGTGTGATACATAAATTAATTCCAGTTTCTTCTTCAGCAATTTGTTGAGAAACATTGTTTTCCACCGGTCCTCGGTATATGATGAGCGATCTAATGTTGTCGCTTCACCTGACTGACTACTTTTTTACAGTCAAATATCAATTAAATATATCCTAAACAGTTCAAATTTTCTATAAAAGTGAGATCATTTATAAAAAGTTAATATTCAAATGTATGTCCTCCGATATCCGACTCTGTAGCCTGTTGACTAGTTATGAGTATCATAATTATGCTTTTTAAACGTTAACATCCTGTTGCAGAATCGTGTTAAATTTTAATTTGGAAATAATTTGATGACTAAAATTCAGTCCATAATTTTGAATAACCGTTCTCGGTTTCGCAATTTGGGGATCGTTTGTCGACTTTCAGTCCGGCTGGTCTCCATTCTTCGGAGAATTAGCTGCTCTTCATTTATGTTTTAGAAATATAATACCAGTAACAGATGTAGGTTTGTTCACCGAACGGGTTTTTTCCTAGTAAAAATAATTTTTCCCAGAAAAAACCACGGCTAGTTTTAAATTTACATAGTCGTATAACTATAATCAGTTAATCCTGTTTCTAGACTGGCGGCTTGGCGGCCAGTTATTGACTTGTACATATAATTGAATTGTATATAGAGATGTGAATGTATTAAAATTTAAAAACTTTCAAACGGAGGTTATAAATTATTATTATCTTATGATTGTAAAATAAAGGATAATAATTTTAATTTGTTTCATCTAAAAACTTGTTTCACTATATTTTTAATTGGGCACCCCGGCGGAATGCGCGGGCTTCTTGTTCTACGCGTGTCGCAGAAATTTTTGGACAGAAATTCGTCAGAAGATTGATTTGTCATTTCAGTACGAAACCTATTGGGGATATAAAAGAACTACAGTTCCTGTCTCAAATGAGTTGCAATAGTGGCAATGAAAAAAAAACATCAAATTCTTTTATGTCATCCGAACACATAAGGGATGGTCCGTAATGAAATCAAATAAGGACTTCAAATCGCGTACAATCATTATCACTAAAGAGTATTGTCAATTGTGATTCCGATCACAGCAAAGTATTATAATGTTGTATGCAAGCTATAATTAGGAGGAAACATCATGATAGCATATATTACAGCTTTCAATAATAAAATATAAGTATAATATCAAAATGTAACTATTACTCACAGTTAATTAAAGATAGCTTAGCAAATTTAAATGGTGGATCTAGAAAAACAATCCGAAGTTCTTTTTTAATGCAACAAAAACATTGAACAGTTATATACATCAAACAGTAATTCGATCTTTAAAAAGAGATCTCACACTATTAGTCATTAATATATGACTATATAAATACCACAACAAGATCGTACTCATCGACAGCCTGACTAGCGTAGAGCGCCTAATTACCTAGGCCGAAGCAAAGATGACAGGTTCGATGCCAGCGTTGAACCATCTACATTTTTCTTGAAAAGTCGCTGTTTAAGAGGGTCAGTAGCTCATTTTCTCCCCACATACTTATATTGACTGTGAGTCTTCAACTAGATCTACGATTTTCCA